CGTTTAAAACAACAGAACTATAAAGCATTTGTCCCCTCTTTTAATCTTACTAGAATAGGAATTATTAAGGGTGTTCCCTCAAACTGGTCCCCTGAAGAGGTAATAAGTAACATTTCTGTCCCACTTGGCTGTGGAGAAATACTTAAAGTTAGAAGGATTAGACGTAAGAATATTATTAATGGTGAATCCATATTTGTTGACACAGAAACTGTTATTATAACTTTTGATGGTCAAATACTTCCTAAACGTGTATTTATGTGTTACAACTCATTACCTGTAGATATTTACATATACCCAACAATACAATGTTATAACTGTTGTCGATATGGTCATGTTAAGGATCAATGCCGTTCTACACCACGGTGCTATAAATGTAGTAAAGGACATTCAGGTGAAAACTGTACGCAGCAAGAAGACTTCTGCTGCTGTCTATGTCTTGGTGATCATCAAGCTAACAGTAAAAACTGCCCGGAACTATGGAGACAAAAAGCAATAAAAGAAACTATGGCTAAAAGCTGTATATCTTATGCAGAAGCCAGCAAATTGCATGGTCCTGTAACAAAATCATATGCTGACACAGTTAAAACTAATTCTTCTATCATAACTGCGGAACATTTAAATAATACTAAACCCCAAAATACTCTATCTTCTAATATAATCAATAGATCATATAAAAAAACCATTGTACAAAAACCCCGTCAATCTCCAAAATTATCACATGGTTATGATGTAAACATGCATAAGCAATTAATAAAAGATTATAATCCTCCTACTCCTGCAGATGGCTGCGGTTATAAATCTGTAGCTGATCAGAATTTACCAAATCAATTTACAGAATTAATCATGGCTTTAATTAAATTGCTGACTGAGTCTAATTCTATTGTACCGTCCAACGCTGCTTCTCTATTTAGTGCTCTTCTTCAAATCTTCAACAACAATGGCTCCATTGGCCAAAGTTCTCCAGTGGAACTGTCGTAGTATTATTAATAAAAAAAAGTGAATTATTTCATATTTTAAATAAAAATAAACCTTTTATTTGTGCCCTTCAGGAGACATGGCTGAAACCCATATCTACTTTTAAGATACCGGGTTATGCTTGTCTCAGAGAAGATAGGACAGATGGGTATGGTGGTGTCGCTATACTCGTCCGACATTTAGTTCCTTATTCACATATACCTATTGATCATTGCAGTAATTTTTCCATATTAGCTGTCCAAGTTAACAACATTTGTTATGTATCTTTATATATACCTCATCCATCAACTTCTATTTTTAATGAACTTAATAATATTCTTTCTGCCCTTCCCAAACCTTTATTAATACTAGGAGATTTAAATTCACAACATCAGTCCTGGGGTAGTACAACAAACAATTCATATGGCCACCAAGTTTTAGAAATATTAGATACCCTTAACCTGTGTGTATTAAATACTGGCCAACCTACACGTCGTACTCCACCTAATGAAGGAAATAGTGTTCCTGATCTTTCCATCTGTTCACCTACTCTTGCAACATCCCTTACTTGGTGCCCCTTGTCACTGTCATTTGGAAGTGATCATTTCCCTCTTATTATTTCTTTTCCTTTTATTGATAAACCACTACCAAAATATGAATCAAGGATGAAATATAAGCTAAATAATGCTGATTGGGATACTTTCAATAACGTCATTGCATCTAAAATCTCATCACTGCCTATTATTACTCAAGGCACTGAAACCATTTGCTCTAATGCATTCACTGAAGTATTAATACAGGCTGCTAATGAAGTTTTTCCTAAAAAATCTTCTTCTAAGAATACAATACCTTCACCACCATGGTGGGACAGTGAATGTACTGAAGCTATTAGGAAAAGAAAAAATACTGAAAAACAATACAATTTACACTCTACATTGGAAAACTTTGATATCTTCTGTAATATATCCAGAACTACCCGTAAATTGTTAAGAGATAAGAAATTAACAGGTTGGAAGAAATTCTGTTCATCTATTTCTCCCAATGTGAATGCATCTATAGTCTGGAGTAATATAAGATTTAGAAGTGCATTCCACGATTCTAAATCAAATGTACTTCCTCCTCATATGGTTGAATGTTTCCTAGACAAGTTAGCCCCTCCCTCAGTTCCTGAAAAAGTTTTGCTGGATAAAGTTGTAATTACCTCTGATATAGATAATTTCTCTAAATTAAATGCTCCATTTTCGTTACCAGAGCTTAAGGGAGTACTTACAAAAGTTAAAGATTCTGCACCTGGAGAAGATGGAATACCATATTCTTTTTTTTCACACTTAGATAGTACATCTCTCTCCTATTTCTTAGATATCATTAACTCAATTATGATATCTGGTAATATTCCTGCTTTATGGAAGACTCAAAATATAATCCCCATTCTAAAACCTGACAAAACTCCATCTGACATTGCTTCCTACCGTCCTTTAGCACTATCTTCAGTTCTGCTTAAACTGTCAGAACATCTGATCAAAAACCGTCTGGAATGGTATATTGAAAGTAACCACTATTTATCAGATAGTCAATATGGCTTTAGAAGAGGGAAATGTACTCTTGATAGTTTAAGTTTGTTTATAACGGATATTCGTTTAGCCTTTTCCAGAAATGACCCTGTACTTGCAACCTTTTTAGACATAGAATCTGCTTATGATAATGTTTCTTTGCCAAAACTTAAGCAGAAACTTGATATATTACATATTCCAGTTAGACTGTCAACTTTTATAATTAATATTCTTACTGAAAGAACTATTATTATAAATTCTGATGACACTGGAATCTCATCTAGAGTAGTATGGAAAGGACTCCCACAAGGTTCAGTTCTTAGCCCCTTATTATACAACCTATACACTTATGATTTAGAAAAGGCTGTATTAAGTAATATGAATAATAATGTTTTTATTTTACAATATGCAGACGATCTGCTTTTTTATGCCATAGACAAATCTGTTCAAAAATGCTGTTTGAATTTGACATCTGCATTAAAATATCTAAAGCTTTGGTTTGATCAGAATGCATTGCAGTTGTCACTTAACAAAAGCAATGCAGTTTTGTTCTCCAGAATGCGTATGCCTCCTCCTATTTCTATATATTATAATAATTGTCTTTTACCTGTAAAAAGTCAAAGCAAATTTTTAGGAGTAATACTAGATTCAAAACTAAGTGGACTTCCCCATTGCGAATACATTACTTTAAGATGTGAACGATTATTAAATATTCTTCGATGTTTGTCTGGAACTTGGTGGGGCGCTCATCCGTGTTCACTCAAACTGTTATATAACGCCATTATTAGAAGTATATTGGATTATGGCACATTTCTACTAGAGCCGGGTAGCTCAGCTGGTCTTAAAAAACTGGATGGCATACAATCAAAGGCTTTACGAATTGTAACTAGGGCTATGCGATCAAGCCCTATAAATGCATTGCAAGTGGAATGCTCAGATCCGCCATTGTATTTAAGACGTCAATATCTTTCTGATAAATTTTTATTTCGCAGTGCACAATGTACTACTCATCCCCTATTTAGTAAATTAAAATTATTATCTAATTATATTAATAATTCTGAATACTGGCGCCATAAATCTATTCCTTGTATTATAAAGAGCTTCCAGAAATTTTCATCTCTTACATCTCCTACTCATCGTTCACAATATTTTCCCATCTTCTGTACGAATTATGAATCATTAATTCTTGAACCAAGTATAATTTTTGACCTTAATATTCATAAAAATCACGACTCAAATATAGAATTTAACTCAACTGTAGACAAGAAATGGCGGAATTGGCACCGAATTTTTTGTGATGCATCTAAACATCATCCAACTGGATGTGTTGGGATCGGAGTTTACCATTCAAAATATAAAATAGTCCAAAAAATAAAACTTCCTCCAGAAACATCTGTATTTACTGGTGAATGTTTTGGTATTTACAAAGCTCTCGAATATATATTAATTACGAAACTTCAGCAAACAATAGTGTGTACTGATTCCAGAAGTGCACTGTTAGCTCTTCAAAAATTTCCATTTAAATCAAATATTAATTATCCTATTATCATAGAAATCAGAAAATTGCTGCAGTTATGTAACTCGAGGGGGTTCTCTGTCTCGCTTACGTGGATTCCAGGACATACTGGCATACATGGGAATGAGATAGCAGATCGCTTAGCGAACGAGGCAATTGGATGCGGTGATATTGTTCCATATCAAAATTATTGTCATGATCTGGCTGCTCTCCCAGGATTATATCTACATAATGCTTGGAGTGAATTTTGGCCTAATAGCTGCCAGAATAAGGCACGACATTATTTTAACATTCAACCAACTATTCAGTTTAAACCTTGGTTCTTCAAAATTAATTTGAACAAAAGCGAGACTACGTCAATAATTAGAATGAGATTGGGGCATGTATGCTCTCCTGCACATCTAGCTAAGCTACAAATTGTAGATAATGATATATGTAGCTGTGGTACAGAAGTGGGTGACTTGAACCATATCATTTTCAGTTGTCCTCTGTATGATCATTCCTACCTTTTTAATGATCTCCTATCTCACCGAATTCCTTTACCTACATCAATTCCAATTTTATTATATCTTAATGATATTGATGTGTATAAAAGTATTTCGATTTTTCTAAGTAGTAATAATATAAAATTGTAAATATAAAACTGACTGCCTATATATAAATATATCATATGTAAATAATTGTCTGTTAATATATTAAGGTCTTATATAAGTATAATGACATATTGTATATAATTAATATGTATAGTGTAGTACCTTAGTCTAATCCTTATAATTAATCCTATTGTCAACTTACCTGATCCTTTAAACCTATCGTCCAAAATTTCCTTTACCTGAACTACTGTTTCCCAAATTTTGTATATTGGCAAATGCACAGACGTGCCAAGCCATAAAGAAGAAGAAAAAAAAAAAAAAAAATTAATTTTATCTATCAATATAAAATATTCAGTAATATAACAGTATTGTTTGCTTTATAGTCTTGTTTGCTAAATATCAATTTTAGTAGAGATACTCTATGGTAGATTGAACTAGATTGTTAGATAGAGCAGTCTTGCTGTGTTTGTTTTAGGCTTACGTCAGGATATGAGAAATATTTGGATTGTTATTAATGAGATAACCTTACCATATCTCATCTGTTATCTATCACAGAATGTACATCGACTAAAATTTATGTAACAATTCACTATTATTTCATGTATTGTCTAGCTAGAGTCTAGCTCAGTCTTAATTCAAACTTAGGTACACAAAATAAACAGTTAATGTATAATAATTTTAATATTAAAAAATATAATAACATTATAGATAATAATGATAGAATCAGTGAAAGAAACATTCTTGTATTTCGCATACGGTAGTAATTTATTAAAAAAAAGGATTCATATTAATAATCCCTCTGCTCAATTTTTAGGAGTTGGTCGTTTGAATGTAAGTACCTGCTTGTTGTAAGTTTCTGCCTAAAATTAACTTTTAGAAATGTACCTAGAGCAGAGTTGTTGTTTAAGTTATAAGTTTGAAATATCTTCTCTCAAAAATTTTAATTATGTACTAGATAGATACTAGATTATAAAATAAGTAACATTGCTTTAAATAAATTAAATACAAACATCATTGCAGTTGCAGACTTTGTTTTATAGAACAAATATAATAATATTTTTGTCATAGGATCATCAGCTTGACTTCATTAAATATTCTGACAATTGGAAAGGAACTTCAGCTACAATAGTCCCAACAACCGGTGCTTATATTTGGGGTGCTATATGGAGAGTACAAAATAAAGACATGCCAGCATTGGACAGGTAATAAATTAATGCAACTTGTTTTAATTATATCACATCTTTATTTCTTATCAGCATTTTTGTGCACTCTGCTACTACTACTAATAGGCACTTGCCACTAAGCTAAGTGGAGCCATTCAAGTGCTATGTAATTCTACATAAGCGCTGATTAAAGTATTTTGCTTACATTCGTCTTTCTAATGAATTCTGAGGGATATTATCATAATGTCTCAAAAAAATAATAGGTACATTCAGGTAATAATAGGTAGTTACTTTTATTTTTTATTTACTACACATAATAACATTTCATTAAAACAATAGGCGCATGGAGGCAGTGTACCTAAGATACTGGCAGCATTCCATCTTTTAATGGCCATGCTAATCCTCTGGGCAAAGTAGCTATCAGCTCTCAGGTCACCTCAATAAAGGCATGCTGCATTTTTCGTTAAAAACATCTTGGCTTTGGAACTGTGGGATTAACATCTCCATAGCAAAGGGTAAACAGCAATATAAACCCTCCAAATTTAGTACTTACACCTCTTTGAAATTGCCGTCTAAATTGGCATTAAGTGTAGGTATCTGGTATCTACCAGATACCTACACTTAATGACAATTTATACATACACAATGTATATGTGTACATACTTATATAACTTTCCATTTTAGACAGGAAGGAGTTGATACAAATTGGTATTTTCCAAAAACAGTGAATATTACTACTTTAGATGGCGCGAGGGTGGAATGCCGGACATACCAACAAACAATAAATCCTCCCGCGCGTAGGGATAATGAAGATATACCCTTTGATAGAAGACCTTCTATTACTTATCTCGAATGCATTCTAAATGGTGCTATTGAATGCAACCTCCCAGATGATTATATAAATAAATTAAGAAAAATTCCACATAATGGACAAGAAGCTCCAATAATGGTTGCAAAATTAAAAAACAAAGAATAAATGACGTTCATGTACTTTTAATTATTTCTGTGATTTAATTAAATTCTCATTATGATTATAAATATATTTATATTTTTATTGTTATAAAACTAATGACTGATGGCATTTCATTTATAAAACCTACATTTAATAAATAGGTATCATAAAATTAAATAATGAGTATTCCTCTATATTATTTGATCTTTAAAAAAAGCCTTTCATCACTATAGTGTCCACTTATTTGTTATTTATGTCATCTTGTATGTAAGTTGTTATCGACATAATATCGGCTCGTTAGCCACAGCTCCACGTCTTTACTCCGCGGCGCTTGCGCAGAGAATCCCTCCTCTGCGCACGGCGGCCCGTGTACGCTCGGCTCGAGACGATAGATAATAAACTGTAGTGTTTCCACATACACTACAATCACCATAACGGAAAGATACACATAAAGATGAGAATGAAGTCAGTTCAATTTGCCCGTCGTGCCGAATTCACCACGACGTTTCTAGGGGGACCGCGTGATGGGTATTTCTTTATCTCGAATACTGTGTAGTACTTAAGTTACATGAATATATGTAAGCTTGACAGAATATAGCAGTGAAAGTTATATCTATCTCTGTTAATAAGTTAAATACTTATATGCTACTTATATGACAATAAAATTATAAATGTCACAATTTGTCAATACACACAAAATCCTTGTTTGTAGTAAATTATCACGTATTCAGTAAGAATGTTAAAATCGGAAGTACACAAGCTAGACACCTTTTTATATTTTTCATATGGAGCAAATTTACTTACATTTAGAATTCAGATGCACAATCCATCGGCGGCATTCGTCTCCATAGCACGTCTAGATGTAAGTTATACTCTTATAATATTCAATGAATGATCACAGTAGGTATTCGGGTATTGGTTTATAATATGGAATAAATTCTTTCATTCCATTTAAAATCATTACCAAATACGTTTAAAACAAACATATCAAGTACCTACCCTTTACCCTTCTCCTTTATAAAGTCGATTGAGAAAGTAGCTCTACCTTAATCTACTACCTACCTTCCTGTTCGCTCTAAGAGTAAAGAAAATATCTAAAAACCTCTTTTAATTTAAATATCACGACAAAATTTGTGCCACATTGTGCAGGACAATAGGGTAGTAAAAGAGTGTCTTACATATTTGTCTGTCCTACTAAAGTAAGATTTAAGAAATTAATTTTATATATCGAGATTAGAGGTGACCTAGGTTCGCTCAATAGAAACACCTAGAAAGATAAACTTGAAGTAGCAACGTTATCACAAAATAAATTTTCAGTCAAATCATTACTTGCGTTAAGAGTTGCTCGTTTTCTTGGATATATTGTTAGATATCATATACACACATGTACCTAGGTACCTACATATAATATAGGTATCGTACCAGAATATTGGATATAATATCATATTGTAATAATTAAGTGGATAAAATATCTAAATGTAAGACCATCCAGACTAGTGCGTGGTAGTCCAATAATTGTTATTGGCTGATTCGCCAGAGTCTTGAGGAAATACTGGATTTTAATATTTTTCTAAATGAATTCGCATTAGTACGCACAATATAATTATTTACATAGAGCTCTCGATGTTCTTCAGTTTGGAAGCACCATACCTACCGAATAAATTGACTGTTCTAATCAATTTACTAAATACATATTTAAATAAAGTTTATTCTTATCGTAAAAATGAAGAAGTTTGCGCAGAAGTAATAATGTAAATGTTTTTATCGGTTTCTTTCTACGTTCATAATACATGAATTTACATTTTTGTAGGTCTCATATGAATAATAATTTAATTAGGTCTTATGAATAAGTCTTATGTCTACAAGATAACTCCGCCGATATTTACTTTAATATCTACAGGACCATGTTAAGATAAATATATAAATATTCAATAGTACTTTTACCAATAATCCACATGTTTGCGAAAATAGCTAACGCCCGTAAATAGTAGCCTATATACACTAGTACTACATGAAAGTACCATGGATGCAGTGGCATAGCTACCAAGGGGCTAGGCGGGGCAGTGTCCCGGAGCCCTTGAGCCCTTACCAGAAAATCTCGATCGAACTGAACTTTTGAAAATTTCTCCCATTTTCAAAATAAATATGACAGGTTGCAACCCGACTTTAATCATGCCAACTCAGTTGAGAAAAATTCGAAAGTTATACCTTCGGAATTTCTCTAAATTCTTTCTGTGGGTTGGCAGTTACTATTTGGCAGATAGCGACATGTGCGTTTTAATAAAACTATAACGTAAGACTGACTGACCCACTGCTGAGCAGTGGGACCGCATTTTTTTTATTTGCCCCTGGGCCCTTGGTTAGCTAACTACGGCATGGATACATGGATGATTGTAATCAAATAAAACATAGTGTAATAACTTTACTTATAATTAGTAGTGATTTTAGCTACAGATATCCTGCGGCATTTTCCGCATCAAATCAACCTAGTGATTCACTAATATAATTATAATATTAGTAGGGTACTTTCATTTGTGTAATATTTATTCTTTTATAGAACTATAGGTTGGATTTTATTAGATACTCCAAGTTTTGGGGAGGCCCTAACGTTACATTAGTTCCCACTGCGAATGCTCATGTTTGGGGAGTAATATGGCGTCTACACAAAGATGATATGGCATCTCTCGATAAGTAATGTTTAATTATATTTGTTATCTATAGTATAATATTTGTGTAATTTAAAAGAAAAATAAATATACACTTAACTATTTTCTACACACTTAAATTTGCTTTGCATGCAAATAAATTTGAAATGAATTTTTTTCCAGTCAGATCGGAGTGGACAGAATAAAATACTACATACAGTATTTAGATGTGCTAACTCCATACATGGGGTTGTTCAAATGTCGAGTTTACATACAAAAAATAAATCCATTACCTAGGGCTGACAACGACGTGGTTCCTATGGAGAGATGGCCTTCGGCTACCTACAAAAGAATCATGATACTTGGCGCTATAGAACATGACATACCCGAATATTATATAGAGTATGTAAAGAAATTAAAACATAATGGAGAAGATGGTTGTCTAACAATGGTGTGCCTGTTGAATAGATATGCCGTGGATACACCGTGCGAATGCAGGGTACCAGGCCGTATATCGAGAAAGACCTTTAAGCTTGATCTAAAAAAGATCCGAGAAAAAGAAAAAATATCGGGAAAGTAAATTTGGCTTTCACTACAGCGAAATAAAATGTACTCGCTTAAAAAATCGATTTTATTTTGAGAAATGTATAGGCTTCGTTTTTAACTTTATAAAATATATTCAAACAGGGAGTATATTAGGATACATTTTGATATTCAAAACTATACTTCGCTAATTTTTGTAACTTTTTTATTAATGTAAATATTAAAATTATTATTAATAGGTACTCGGTTCTCATTAAATTAAATATAAAAATTGTACACTATATCAATCGTTTGGTGAAATTGTATCTAAATTGAGCATAAAGCACAACGCTACCCCGACACTTTACATAAACACGCACACAAATCACACGAGGAACACATCATTTGGAAATTATTTTATCAGTCAACAATTTACGAATAATAAGTATAATTACTAAAAAATGAGGTAATATAACTGCCTTACTAGGTGGAAATCACAATAAAAATTAAATACTGATAAAAATAAGAGCGTAAATAAAAAAAAAGATAATCAGTAAAGCTCGCAGGGAACGCCGTGTGAGGCAACGTTGTGCGACACCTCGCCGCACCCACTCCAATCGGCCCGCACGCACTCACTCTCGCCCACACACATACAGTCTGAAACCATAGGGCTGACGGTGAGTTGGTGCGCGTCGTTGGAGCATCTCAGGTCATTGGTTATTACAGAAACTGTGCCGATTCCGGCCCAGAGCAAGAGAAAAGTCATGTATACTACTCCACTACGTATTGTGTAAAGTGAGGCATTTTTTAATAAACATGTGTATCAAGTGGAGTAACAAAACGGTTTTAAAGACAATCTAATATTTAAATAATAAATATAATATTTTCTATTTTATTTTTAACAACTTAATTTTATAGAAATATTTCGTTTGTCATTTGTAGAATGGTTTTGTAACTCCAATTTGACTGTAATGAGCGTGGTCTCTGTTGGTTTTGTTTTGCTCTGGGCTCCGGATGTGGGTTGCGGCGGGGGCGTCAGATGGCGGCGACACGTGTCCGTGCCGCACAACACTCCAGCGCAGTGACCCGGTACATCCCTGACTACACTGGACTATTTGCGATACGTACTATAACGTAAGGTGGAACAATAATATGGCTCTAATATTTAACATTACACTTAATGGTACTTACGTTTCAAAAATTGAGCAAAAGGCACTATGCAATTTCTAAAATTAAACAATTACATTTGGACTTTGTAAATCAATTTGAAATCGAATGTTTCATTTTATAATTTTATTTATAAAAAAATGATATCAATGCAACGTGCCTTGAGCCCCTCACCGACGACACAATACTGTGCTCCATTCACACCGGCCGTCGCCGGCGTACGTCACAAGCGTGGTTCGTGTCGTACGCGGGCGGCGGTCCCGACCTCCACGTACATCGGCCGTACTATAACTACTACCCTCGCCTACCACACAGCTCACGCTTAGCTAGCCCCGTTGAATTACATTCTTTCTATGGCACGGTTCTTGCTTGTGTTCTGATTGATGTAAAGCTTTCTGTTACGATATAAGCAAAAAACAACACAAAAGGAACCGTACTATTCGTATACCGCCAGTGCATACACAATATTGTATGTATCGTGTCTATCTCACACAATCAACAATCCTGCATTCTGCTGAAGGCTGGATGTCTGAAGGCACTCGTTAATACCCTTAAACCACATTATCGTTATAGTTATTATAACACATTGGACACCAGATCACGGTCACGCCCGGCGTCCAACGTCCAGGATTGTTGTATATTGGAGTTTAACTTTGGTTGCTTTCATTTAAGACTCAATTAGTCAGTTCGTTACAGTAACATAATTTATGTAGCTAGCGTATATTTTAGATTACAATATGTATTGAGACAGCTATAAGTCGATGACTATAATATATATAGTAATTAATTTATATACAATATTATTTAGGACATTGAATTTTTATTTATATTCCACCAGCGACCATGTTCTAGTTCTTGAATATAACAATAATTATTATAAAATATATTGTAAGGCCATTCGCGCGTTACGCATCATTTGCAGCAATAAGTAGAAATAGTAGAACATTTCACTAAATATACAGAACGTCAAATATATTACTAGTAGGTAGCTAGCTGCCCAGCGGCGCGAGCGTATCGTGCGAGCTGACCGGCGCCACGGACACAACTCAATTTCACTAATTACGGAGATTATCGCACTCATTATATTCAAATATATAAATATAAATTACGATTTTTCATTAAATAACATATGGAATTATTATTATACAGATATAAATGTCTCACGAACTCGAGATGATCATTAGACTAATAAATATACTAACGCATTCTAGTTACTCGGTTCGTAATGATATTTCAATTGTTTAGTCCAGTACAGTTAGTGTAACTTGATATTACAAAAGTAGATTTATTATATTAAATAATAATAGTTGGTTAATAATAATAATATATAACTATATAACAATAATGGCAGGTTTATTCTATTGCATTATAATTGATGCGGATTACATTGATAAAATGGTATGTGCATACATAATTGTTAATTGTTTGTGTATACATGCAATAACGCCGATTACAAAGTTACACGAAAACGGAAGGCATTTTATACATGTTTATATTTGCAACTATTTACAAATAAATATTAAATACTCAGTCGGTAGATGGAACTTTAAATTATTGTTATTTTACAAGGTTTGCAAATCTTTGGTGCTGCTAAATCCGATCAAATTATTTATTCGTCAATATACTAAGCCATTAATTAGGTAGGTCAGTATGAAATTGTTAAAAATTTAAATAATTTGTTTAATACAGACATGACACGTTTTCTATAAAAAATGGTCAGTCTTTGTCGAGGAAATAAAAAGATATTTCGCATTACGATAAAAAATCTATACAAAATTTCAGAATAGAAATAATTATTTTAAATTGTATTACATATACAATTAATATTGTATTTTGCTAATAACACTAATACCATTTTTGTAATGTCAATAAAAATATGTAATAAGAATTAGCTATTTAATAAAAAAATATTGTCAAGCTATAACCACTGATATTGATTTAGTAAAAACTATACCGCAACGACCGGACCGATAAATAAGAATTTACTATAAATTCACGATCATTATTTATTTGTCTATACAATAGATTGTTAATAAAATAAAACTGTACCATTGTAATATTATTAGAATTTGAATTGTTGTAAATTACTATTGACTGTAAGTACACAGAACCTAAATTAAAAGAATTAGCATCTGTATTGTTATAAATAACTACAACAATCTGTTAATGTGCTAACATTAATTACATGAGATTATAGAAAAGAAAGACAAAGAACAGAAGATGCGTATTGTAATGAAGTAAGATACAGAATATTTATTATTCAATTGGTTTTTTATTTTTCACAGCCACAACAACAATCCGACCTATGTATTGCATCAAAAGGATGCACATTTATTCGTTGCCGTTCTTGTAGGGCCGCCTATCTGGGCAATGACTATCAAATGTAATTTTAAAGCCCGTTACACAACAGCATTTTCTAGATTATTATAAAAACTAAAGGATTTAATTTTTTCCATACTGACTGACCCTTCATTATGGTGCACTGTATAATTTAAAAAGTATATAAACGATAAGAAAAAAGGAAATCAATAATATTGAGTATTATTTAACAGTTGCACAAATTGCAATCGAATCAAAATTGAACAGCACAAGTGACAAATTCATGGATCGCGATGCACTTTCAACAAAAAGTGCTCATATAACAACAATTATAACTTAACAATATCGACAAATTTGACACTCGCTGGTATTCTCCATAAACAATTCGAAACGGGAGTTAACTAGTTAAACGTGAAGAAATTAATAAAATTAATTTGTACACGATCTAGCTTATGCGATAACATACTTATACACACTTTACATCTTAAACCGTAAACTTAAATATTAATAGGCTATGTCAAAAATGACACCGATACAACTATTTTATTGAGGTAAACTATATAGGATTCGCGTCGAAATATATCGACTCTCGATATCGCCTCGGCAAAAATATTTACTCATCGCTCGATATGAAGACGACCGTCGTCGGGCGAGACGATGCGGGTCCACTCCCCGTCGGGACGTCAATAGATTGACTCCCGAAAGAGCGCGAACCGGGCGTCGTAACGTACAAAGTAAATGCGGAGAACGCCGCGGGTTCTCCCTACGAGTAAATTTACACTAAAATCGAAAACGATCGACCCGTGCGAGGCGCGACGTCGGTACATACGAAATAAATAAAAACAACGCGACGAGCGACGCTCGCGTCGAATAATTTACTAGCTACGCTTACGTCTAGGATTCGAAGAGCCGACCGCCCGGGCGGCCGACCTGAGGTAGATAGAGCGGGCCGGCGCCGCCGCCGCCCTCCGACCGCTCCCTGCGCACTGACAACGCAAACTCTGAACACATATTCAAAGTTCAAATATCTGCCGCCACACTACTCGAAGCCTAATGATACGGATCGGTGAGTCAGTAGTAACTTTCGCGACACTACTGGGCAGTACCGGAGGTTTACATGTGACACTGTAACTAAAATTAACTAGTTTCATCGCGTAAATTATACTTCAGTCTGCTGCGTCTCATTAGGCACACGACATCTAATCGCAAGTTCGACACTTCACTCGGCGGCGGTAACGAAACGAACCGATCGCGTCACAAAGTATCCGCCGGCGAGTGACGCGTCTGGGGGTGGGGCCGGCGTGGGGGCGTCAGTCGCGCGCGGGGGGCGAGCGCGGGCGGGCGGCGGCGGCGTCGCGGCGCTAGCAGCCCGCGGAGTCGGCGGCGGGGTCGCGCACCACGCCGTTGGGTCCGCCCGCCTTCAGCGCCAGCGGCAGCGCGCGCGGCGCGGCGGCCGGCAGCGCCTGCAGCGCCTGCAGCGGCGGCAGCGGCTGCAGCGGCTGCAGCGGCTCGGCGGCGGCGTCGTCCGAGGTGCGCGACCGCAGCGACGACAGCACCCACGACGCGAGCCGCCCCGACACGCCGAACAGGTGCGACCCGGACCCCGTCGCCACCGCGCCCACGTTCACCTCCGGCATCTCCTGTTCCTCCTCTGTAACAATCATCGACATAATCGTAACCACGACCTATTCGCCATCCACTGATATACTACAAAGTATTGTCTTTAGCTAGTAACATCTATTTCATATAAATGAATGGTTGTCCTACACTGCTGAGTTCGAGAACTCGTAATCTCGTAAGTAACGTTACGTTGAGTAGTACCGTACTCGAAAACCGTCTATCCGTTACTCAAATTATGTGGTTGCCCCATCGCCACTGAAATTTTCTGTCCGTTTGTCAGTTATCTATCTCATCATTACAAACATATTTGAAGCAGAATGTAAATGTGTATTTTAAACGATTATATTATAATACTAGATTGCTACACAATAACTTAACCCCAAACATATATAAAAAATTGTGCGATACAACAAGTTCTGTTTATTACATCAGATTACAGGATGACTTACTATAAATTAATAACTATAAATTTTTATGCTAAAATACACTGGAATCAAATTTTTAAACTAAGTATAGTGAAGATATTTCTCTAAATTACATATTTATTTATAAAAGGGAAATAAAGCATACAAGGTGATTTTTAACGTAACCTACAAATAAGGGAAAAAGAACAAACTACACTACAAATGCAAAGAACTATAAGGATTTTTGTTTTGTTATCATACAATATTTTTTTATATTTCACTTATACTAAATATAATACTTATATTTCATCGGCACTACTTCTATCGATTAACTAACTACTAGCGGTAAATAGTGCTACAAATTATATAAGATGCTAAAAAAATTAATGAAATAACCGATGGAAAGTAATAAAGGTTGTCAATAGACACAAATAGTAGCAAGTTGTGCCAGAACGTGTCCATGGTCTCTACTAGAGTAATGAGCTGCTCACGCTGTACAATTGAGTAGGCCATTCAGGAAATGATAACAAGTGCGTACTTATTCCACATGCAAATTACCGTTACTTACGGTTATGGGATTGGCGTCTGGCCGCCGCACACGTCTACTGCGGCAACGTAAGGATAGACAAACAAAATTATTACAGATAGATTTATTAATATTACAGAACCGCTATTGTTATCATTTACTGATGTCCCACAAAAGTGGAATAAGGAATTTTTGAAAAATATGTTCTTAATATTATATTTTTTGGGAGTATTGTGTATAAGACATGCGTACATTATGATATAACCATTTGCATATGGGAAACCATCGACGATTTCCGATCAATGAGTACGTTCGCCAATCTTCATACAATCCAACTATACTTTTATACTAATTACACGTAAACATTAAATCGGAAAACGATATCAATATCTATTTTTTAATATGGTATATTTTTTAATTGTTTATTTCAAGTTACTAGTGGCCCATATTATAAATACGTTATAGACTAATTATATTAAATAATAATAAAATATAAATTGACTCAGTGGTTACGGCACTGACGACGGCAATCTTCCGCAGTAGAACCGTATACACCGCCCCTGAGGATGGGCAGTACGTTAGAGGAGACCCCGACACAAACGCTTCGAAACTGGTGTCGTGACTCAACTCCAGCATCGTCACCCTCAATGTCAGATTACACTCCTGGTCCGTATATAGTCGACAATGTCCTACTCCTTGGTGACATAGTGTAAAATCACGGCAAAGTACCTATCTCATCTAAGATAGGTACATTGCCGAGGTCAGTGTCGCAGCACGCAACAATAAGTCGGCCCAGTGCAGTGTTACAGTGGTTCTGACATTGCCATGATCGGTGTTGCAGCGCGCAATCAAAAGTTGGGCCCAGTTGATTGCTTTCGCCCGCTGTGAGTCTCTTCTTTCGCATGTGAATGTTATGAACCGAAGACATAAAAAGCGATACTGACCTAGCGTGGAGCGCTGGAGCGCGTACATCTCCTGTCCCTGCGGCGAGTGGAAGAAGGATCGCTGGCGGAAGTAGGGCATGGCGGCCGGCGCCAGGTCGGCCACCAGGTGCAGGAACCCGGGCCGCGCGTGCGAGCGGTGCGCCCAGCACGCGCGCATCAGCTCGTACAGCCGGTCCGGGCAGTGCTCCGGACGCTCCATCACGCCGCCCTCCACCACGTACCGCACCACCTGCTCGTTCGACAGCCCCTGCGAACACCGCACGTCCATCGTCAGCCCGTACGCACACACGCCCGCACGTAAACTATCGACTACTCAACCACCAGGAAGAAGGGGTTCGATGGTAGGTCAGGTAGACCTCCACGTTATCTTATCGTGCTCCACTGGTGTCCAGCCACCGTAAACCGTCAGGGGACAAGCTGGTTCGCCTTATGATAAGTGGACGTCCGCCGCCTACATATGAACGGTATAGCGGACATGCGTTGTCATTTCCTAAAACTAATACGATGTGTAGATGACCTCTATACACCGATGCTACTTCTCAACCGATCTCCCGACAGCCTTTGTTGCTGACGTACTGGCCATATAGTTTTATATTTCATATTTAATTTGTATTTTTTACTATTAAGAATTTCTTTCTATATTTTTGTATATAGAACCTTAGTGTCGAATAAATATTGTGACAGACAACAACAGCCTTGAAATTAACTTATGTAATTTACGAAAGTTCAAAAATATTCGAAATAATATCTATTAATACCTATCATCGAGAGAATGTTTAGTCAAAATATTTTTAATAAATTATATGATAGATTTAAATTCACAATTTACAACTTATAATCGAAAATGAGTGACATACCTGATACGGTAGCATAGCGAGCGTCACCATCTCCCATAATACGACACCATAACTCCAGACGTCGCTACTACTTGAAAACACCTTAAAATAACAATAATATCCATATATAATTTGTAAAACATACAATCTTAAAAAATAATGCATGTAATTCATAGCATTCTGATTGCTTACTCTATGAAGAACTTAGTGTGAAGATAGACATAATAAATTGATAACCAACAAATATTTTTACCGACAGTAACGTATGAACTCATATCAGATTATTTTACTCACCCCGTCTTTTAAGCTCTCGGGGCTCATCCATCGCACCGGGAGTAGGCCCTTAGTGCCTTTCCTATAATAATCAGTCTCATAAATGTCTCTGGTCATTCCGAAGTCCCCCACTTTAACGGTGAGGTCGCCGGCGACCATACAGTTGCGCGCCGCGAGATCGCGATGCACGAATTTTTTGGCCGATAGGTAGGCCATACCGTCGGCTATTTCTATAGCCATCTGTCGAAGTAAACATATAGAATCATATTAATAACATGTTAAACCACATACATAAAAAAACTGTAAAAAAACAAATTGAACCTTTGTTCAAATGGAAGCAACGAGAGCGCAAAGAGCGTATAATTATATGCATGCCCCTAAAGTTATTTTTGATAATCTATAAGGCGGATATATCCGAAAAATATACCAGTTTCAGCTGGTAACAATGAAAGGCGGAAAATACAAAAACTCAATAATATTAGCGAATAAGTGCAAATTTGATGGGAATAAAAATACTTTTTTAATACTACGATTTGCTACAACAGAATTATCATATACAGCTTAAATAATTATTTAGACAATTTTTTTATTTTTCATTGGACATTTCACTGTTGGACAATCACAGAAATGGAAATCCTAAATGCTCACCAGTACATGTCTATATAGTTATTATAATTATCGTGTACGTGTAAAATATAATAGTAACCTGTAATATATTTTGTAAGGTGGGCGGATTGCCGGTGTCCTTCTTAGGCAGCGAGGAGTCGGCATCGGGGCGATGCGAGCGCAAGTATGTCTTGAGGTCTCCCAGCTCCATGAGCTCCATCACCACGAGCGTGGGCTGCCCGCGAGACACCACGCCCAGCAGACGCACCACGTGGAACGTGTCGAACGCCTTCATCACCGACGCCTCGTTCAGAAACTCGATGCGCTCCCTGACATACAGATAGCACTGAATCACTCCACTATATTTATGTCAATGTATAACTTATACAAAAGTAGTGTAGAAGAGAATATTAAATCAGCAAAACTACACAGATAAATCAGATGGCGCTGTATCACAAGTATACGATCATAAGTGGCTGCTATTTGGCTAATTCATCAATCAGGACAAAGTCTGCAAGGAAGGCAAAAATTGACTATATATTACAATTGCAGACTTATTGTTGTACCGTCAAGGGAAAATTTGATCTCATTTTCTTCATTACTAAACTGTGTATTGCCGAGATGCAGGTAGATCAATTTACCATTATTTTTTTTCAGCAATAAATAAAAACAATTTGCCGTTCATTACGTTCACCCATAACGTTATTCATTCATTCAATAACATTATAATATAATGACTTAAGAAATGCGTTGCCTAAAAATAATTACTTAAACCTGTGTATATATAAATTGTATACCTGTCAGTGGCATGTTCATTGACAGTTTTCACAGCGCATCGAGTTTCCGGTTTGCCTTTTTCAATACCTTTCGCAATTCCTTCATATACCTGCAAATAACAGTAATAACAATTGATACTTATTCGTTTTCCGCGAACGTAATCTAAAAAATAACATTAAAATTAACTATTTAAATAAAATAAAAACTTCAGTAAACATTTACGCATGCCATGGCATTAATTAAACACTATTCCTGAATTTCTTGCAAGTGAGTAGTTGTAATTACATATGTAGTGGTCGTCTTTTGGTCACAAATTTTCAATAAAGTTAAATTGGTCAAAAATTTACTGAAAAATTCTTAAGTAAATTTGCGTATATACTGTGTATATAATATAAACAGAGTACTAACCATTCCAAAGGAGCCCTGTCCAAGTTCCCGGATGAACTCGATGTTGGTACGCGGCACCTCCCACTCGTCGGGCACGTACACGGTGGAGACGTACTCGGGGTTGACGCGCGCGAACAGCTTGTTGCCTTCTGGCGGCGGCAGCAGGCCGCGCCGCATGTACCAGATGCCGCCGCCCACCATCACCACCATCACCACGCACCCGCCCACCAGCCCCCAGATCCATTCGTGGCCCGGGTTCGCGGTTCTCTCCTGATAAAACGGTGTAACGGTTTAATAAACTTAATACCTTACTCCTAATAGTTGCGGATTCTATCCTAGATATAATAATAGATCAATAAATCTGTTTTTATTGGAGTGTTTAAAAGATACAGAGAACACAATAGAACTATTGAAACATATTATACCGATGTATAATATAAATCTCTGATTTAGTGAGTGGGCTACTGGCATTTTATCTGTTAAACATACTAATAGTGTAAATGCAAAAATGTGTCTGACTGTCTATCTTGTAACGGCTAACAATGGAAAATCATCAACATCTAACTTTACCGGTATAAATATAAATGTCTCGGAGACGTTCCCCGCACCGTTGACTGTGATAGGCGTAATTTTGATGCTGTAGTTTCCTGCGACGAGATTGCGCAGCATGTACCCTCGCCCGCTTGTCTCATAGTCTTCCGCTGTCACACATGTCTGCAGACCCAAGCCCTGAACCTGTAAACAAACATTTAGACAATTTATTATCATAACAATTAACGACAGTAAAAATATTTCACCAATGAATACTTCGTAAAAAGTCGTATTTACTACCACTGTCTCACGTATTTCAGCCGGGAAGCAGTTTACTTTGTTTCGGTAGGCATTCCACCCTTTTGTTAATTGGTGATATAGACAACATTACAATATAAAGAAATCCCAAAGATATGAAGATAAGATAAACATAACAAACCTGAGAACTATCTTCCACTCGAAAGTAATGCACTTTGTACGCAGCTAGGAAGCCGTTGGGATTCTTGGGGGGTTCCCATGTTACGTTGACCTCGGGTAACGTTTTGTTTGACGGCAGGATATCAGCTTGCAGATTGCTAATTACGTCCGCGTTCACTATGAGGAAAATGCAATTCAATTATTAACATTTTTCTTATAGCACGATGATGGCAATCAAGAATACGAATAATCTGAAGGTGAATTATTACCGCATGAATCACGAGGAGTGAAAAGCGCGTTGCCGACACTTAAGAAACCTCATACTCTTTTTGAAAAACTCCATGGTGTAGTCTCTAGAGAAAACCTAAGCAGGTAGTTCATTCCACAATTGAAGTATACGCGGGAGGATACTCCTCTGAAATCGCACTGCACCATTTAGGATCCAGAGCTTATTGGTAATTGAAATGATTAAATTGATAATAAACCAAACGGATTAGATGCCTCAAATCATAAGCAAGATTTGAGTACCTGGAATGACAAAACTGACGGCCCACTTGTTCAAAAGTGGTAGGTATATATTTTTTTATTACAAAATCTGAAAGCATACTACAGACATTACAAAATATTTAGGCTTTCCTAGTACGTTACTATTCCTAAGAACTAACGTTATATTACTACCATGGCTTACCCATTAAACCGATACAAATCAAGCAGCTTGGTATCAGAATTTGGTAGATTTGTTAATAATTGTTTGAGGGTCACAAAATCCAAGTATCCAAAACTAAAAGTAATTCCTTTCATCTATATCAAATTAGTAGACTATAAAAAATGCTCACTCAATTCCAATGTGCGGAAGGTATTGTACGCCCTGTCTGAGCACCATGTCTTCGCGTAGGTGTCTTCGTTCTCATTGTCATCCTTCATGCGGCACGCCCACACGTTAACAGTGTACCATGTGCAGTGGCGCAGACTGTCCACTGTCAACGTGGTGGTATTGCTGTCCAGCTCGTAGAACAACGACTTCACGTAGCCTGTCATATAAGTGACATCGTTATAATCGACTATAATTATATCAATTCAAGGTAGACTATTCATTATATCAATAATTATCCAATGTATACACCTCCATTAATAAAAGTCATAGCTCTGGTTTCATCCAATATAAAAATATGATTATTATATTACATATTTTTTTCATATATGATTGCAATATACCTGAGAACATTCTAGTAGTAATCGCATAGTTTATATATACTACCTATACTTTTTATAATGGAATGTCCATTATAAAAAATATAGGTATTATTATGACGACTAAATGCTGATGCTTTTACTTCAACATTGCTTGACTTTTAATTGACTTGAATATTTAGATATTTCATAATTCAAATGAATTAAAATAAAAGTGAATACAATAGATGTAACATATTAACGGTTCATTTCACACACAAATTTATTAAAATAATTAACAAATAACATTACATGAGTATCTTAGTACATAACTTACTCTTAATTATAAAATGACAAAAATACTCTTATTTCAACCTAAATTTTAGACAAAAGTGATTGTTACTATCATTTCAAGAAAGCAATAACCAACGATTTAGGACGAGAACCAACTCATTTCGCTGTTGTATGAATTATTATAAACGATCTTATGCAAAATGTCCTATATACATATATTAAATAAAAAATATCATTTTATGTTCCCTTGCATAGTATACGTAAATTAATCAATATATTGGTTTGTGAAAACAAAATACAAAACATGACGACATAATACCCACAATTTTATTATAATAATATTGAAATAATCTACTACATAACGTATCTACGTTCAATCAGAAATTAAAGACATGCAAGACAAAAGAATAAGATGAGCGCCGCAATTAAATTAACTCTAAATCTACATAACATGCAATGTCTACTATAGTTGTCTGTTTTATGCCATGCCAATAGGTAAGGTTTCGCTCATCAGTGAATACTTCTTGAGTAATAAGTTCGATTCTAGCGTGGAATCAGTTTGTACACTGTCTGTATTATTTACAAAAACGTAGAATCCAAAAGTAACACATTTTAACAATTAATGTGATTTGTCACTTTCTACCATATTGAAAATTTCGTTAGAGAGAAAGAGACAAAACATTCAATGGCTAAAACACAGCGCTTAGATGTTTTTATGAATAAGTGTGATTGTAACACATGCAGTAACCGGATACCCGTGACATAAAACAATAATTTCTATATTATAACCTGTAGTATTGTCCTTTATGACGCAAACGTTAGGCTCGATGCGACTGCATTTGACTGAAAAGAGAACGTTCAGATGGGCGTGATGAGGTTTGTGTGAGGTGACAAGCATGACAAAGATGAAGAATAAGCACAGAAAAGGTAGCCTATAAGTTGGCGTAGATGATACATGGTAAATCAAGGGATGGGTCGGTGAAACAATTTATATGATGGCAATCGTGAGTGGTTACCTTCTCCGTCGGTGCTGTTGGAGTAATTGAATCCTATCTTGGGCCTGTTGTTCTCACTGAGTATAACGAGCATGGTTTGCAGGTTCGATTGATCTATTGCCCGCTTAGGTCTGCTTTTTGCCTTGGATTTAACCTTTTCCGATTTTATATAGACCTGCAATGACGATAAATTTTATATAAGTATGTTCTAAATACATAAAAAGTAATATCGAATAATCTAGTAAAAATAACTTATCATGTGACGCCCGTGATATCACTCGTGTGTTATTTCCTGTAGTTCTTCCCTATAATTAATATTTATGTGATAATATTAACAAATTCTTTCACAAATATTAGTGCCTCATCCGTATCAAATAGCGAGAACGAGATACCAAAATAAATGTACTCATAACTTAAAAGAAAACACTAATGCGTTGCCATTTGGAGCACTGAGACATCATGCCTATAAACTTGTAATTACACTGCCTTATCCCTACACTTCTCCGGAAACAAATCCTACAAAGCTTGGTGGCTGAAATAGATGAGACTGCGGTATCCACGTAGATGACATTTTACAGTATACCTTCAGTGCGAGTGTAATTCAACTCGGAGTGTTGAATTACACTCACTATGACCGACGTTCAAACTGTTCAGGGAGAAAAGTAATAGCGCTCAAGACCATACTGCAGCGTGATGTCGGGGAACTAATTCCAGCAACCGACGATAGTTGCGTTGTAAAGATGTACGAATACATTTCGAACTCGTATGGAAATATATTGTAAATTGTGTGTGACCTCGTTCTGCAGCTCGTTCTCGAAGTTGATGCTCTCGATGCGCTCCTCCTCGGCCCGCGAGGTGAACTTGACGCCGGACTTGGGGCGGTCCTTGCAGGAGCAGGACGCGTTGGAGGCCAGCTCGCCCGTCACGTCGCGCTGCAGCTCCGGCGGACCCTCGCCGTGGCCGGCCTTTATCTTGTTCGCCAGGGCGTTCGCTGCGGGATGGGTATGGTTCCTATACATTTTTATATCTCAAGCTGACACAAGGCATAATTTCAAACGTACAAATGACCTACAAAGTCGAGTAATTAAAATATAAATAACAACGCATAGTTTATAATATATGTATAAGATTTTCATCGACTCACAAAGAAATCCACAAACTATAATGACATAGTTGTTTAGAATATTTCTTTTAGACTTTTTAAAAACACATATAATAAACTTTGTACACTTACTGTACATTATGAATTGCTACATTCAATTAGTTCGCTTGTTTTCATACACAATATCAATAGTCTTTAATTAATTTTTAACAATGTTTAGGATCTGATATGAGGGATAGATTGGTTTAGATAGATTGGTTGGAAACCAATCTGTCTCTCACAGTTTCCCTTATATTTTAATATAATTTAAATTTCTTTATATTATTGTTACAACTAGATATTCGAGCCAACCAGTTACACCAATAAAATACATACTACAAAGTACATACGGTTGGTGCAGTAATCGAACTTGGAGCCGAGGATCTTGGGTTTGTTGTAGCTGTTGGCTTGGATCTCCACATGGTACAGGATGACGACCCCGTTGGGCATTACTGGCGGCGCCCAGCGGATATTCACAGAGTGCGCAGAGTTGTGTTCCACTATCAAGTTTATGGGTGGACTGGGTTCTGCAAAAATATCACTATTTGTTAGTGCCCGACGGTACTCACAATGACCTCTTTAGACGTATAATTAAAATTTTCGTTCCGTTTAAATTAGTCTTAAACCGTGTGCGTGTCCAAAACCAAAACATATAGTAATAAAACTACTAATTCCGGGAGATCTTTGAGGGCAAATTACGACGGCTTTTGATTCAAATTACGACGGCCCGAGCCGAAGTTAGAACTCTTAGCGGTAAACTCAGACTAAAGTCGTTCCGTCAGGTAAGAGTCCTCCTGCGGGTTTGGAGTGTCATCTGCACTCGTCCTCTTTTCTTTAACTTGACGGGTAGACGGGTACTGCTAGTCTCTTACCGGCTAAAAACCCCAAGGTGTTCCTTCTCTCAGCCTTTTGCAAGAGTTACGGCAATGCGCGAGCAATCTTCCGTTCGATAAAGCTATATAGACCAGCTGCGGCCAACAACATTGGAGTAGTACGAAATAAAAAAAAACGGCGAATACTAACATATTGGAATATCCAATAAACTATCATAGTTTGTACTCACGTCCTGGCAATGTCTTGAAGTATATGATATTACTCTGCGCGCCCTTCTTGTCCTGCTGCGTGGTGTAGGTCTTGACGTAGGCGGCGTAGCGCGTGTAGGGGCGCAGGTCTGTGAGCGGTCGGAACGATGGCTGCACGTGCTTGCACGGGTTGGTGATGATGTCCGCGCGGGGGTCCTGCACCTCGTTGCTCCGGTTACTGTGCAGTCGCGCCTCGTCTATCGTTATGTCCACCACGTTCCATCTGTTTCATTTCAAAAATTGATCAATTAAACCAAACCAACTGAAAATCAGCTGGAAACTATGTTTTTAGCATTATGCTGAATTGTGGTCCACATTGACTCTGTTGTGTAATGTATTGAAATTGTTGCTTGTATTTTTTGTCTTTATTGTTGCGTCAAGACGAGTTTTATTCATTTTAATTCTATTAGGCACGCCAGCATCAAATAAGTTTAACAATTTAACATTTATTACTGATATTATAAACGCGAAAGTTCGTGAGTATCGATGGATGGATATTTGTTATTCTTTCACGTAAAACCTACTGAACGGATTTTGATGAAATTTTACAGTAACAACAACAAAATAACACATAGGCTATAATTTAAGATTTGTAAATTTGGCGAAATATAAATGATGTGTGTGTGTGTGTGTGTGTGTGTGTGTGTGATAAGGTTGAGGTTGCTCTGGTCATATAGTAAATAAATAAATGTATATTTTCAATATAGTTTCATTTATAAATAAACCTCGTTGATTCTTAAACAGCGTCATTTAGTCCCAAATTAAGCAGTGCTTGTACTATTGGTACTAGACAACTGACAGATATACTTAAAAAATATACTAAACTGCTAATCTAGAAGACGGAGGCAGTCATAATAATATAGTAATTATAGTTATTTTATGACATTAATAACAGTAATACTAACGCGTCCGAGCAGGCATCCCTTTGTCCATACAAAGTAACGTCCTTATCAGCGGCGATGTAGTACAGCGAGTAACCAAGCAACTTGCGGATGTCTTCCACGCAGTACATATTCCATGTGAGTACAACCACTGTATCCCGTCGCTCCGACACGTTCAAATTTAGCAGGTTTGGAAAACCTACAGAAAAAATAATATGAATGGCACACAAAACTATTAATGCAACTACTAACAAAATAAGTGACAAGACGGTCTAGTGACGGCATAGTTGAAATTCAGTAGGAATAGAAATCTTAAAAATATTAGTACATTATAAAAATATTAGATTTTATACATGCATTGATATGTTATAATTTTGTTGCAGTCTTTTGAAAGGATGTTATGCTACATGTTGCATATACATTATATTTTATAAAATGTTTAATTTTGTGAAAAGGAGATTTAAAATTTTTGTTGTTTCATGAACCTCACTTAACAGAAAATAATAGTTTTCTAACTGGAATATTTATGGAATTATGAAAAAGCTAGTTTAACATTTGTTGTGTTCCGGATTGACGTCGTTCGAAATCATAACCTATATTCCGCTCGTTATGATACGATGCGGGTGATAAGCATACAAGTCATAAAAACGCAGGTGAAGTAATTTACGACGGCTCACTGCTATTGTACAAAATAGTCGTTTGTAGGAAAATAACAATTATTAGTATATGGGACTATCCATAAATTACGTCAGACCAATTTCATTAACTTTTATCCCCTCCCTCGGTTGTCAACATTTTAATAGTCTAAATAGTTTTTTTTTTATACTAACATTAAAATGAGACGTCACAAAATCTACCTAGATTTCATGTTTTTAGACGAAGTTTATGACTCTTACAATCCCTTTTTATAAAAAGGGATTGTAAGTGTCACAAACACTGTATACAGTGTCACACTTAGTTGCTTAAAGTATAACGTAATTTATAGATGAGCCCTAAAAATACCAATAAAAAGTGCTAAAATATCCCGTGTCAAGATATGCATAAGAATTTACGAATTGGCTATAGGAAATTATTTTCTAATACTTACATGACGCTTGATCTCCGTTGTTGTCTTCTGATACTTCAATTACACTAAACTCCGATCTGGGATCATGTGTCATGTTTTTAAGTGGTAATATTCTGTCGTAACACAATTTTGGATTCATATGTATATGAAGCGTACCCTTGGAAATATCTATAGGTCCATGGGTACGCCAGTCCCATAATAGCTCCAGATTTGGATTGTTAAATATATTTAAAACTTGTCCCCTAAAAATAATAAAATTAATAAGTAATAAGTAAATATATTTAGTTTTTTCCTTATGTAAACCCGTTATGATATTCTGTATCTGCTTATGTAGCTTTGGCAGAAAATTAAGAGAAATCAAAGCCCCAGACTAAATCCATGAGCATTAATTATTTAAATATCAATCAACGAATTGTAAATAAAGTCAATTTGGTATTCGTTGATTGATAGATATTTATAGTAAGATTATTTTTTCAGCAAGAACAATAAAATCATAACCAAATAAATAAAAAAAATACTATATCTTTTCTGTTTTTACTCCGAAATTGAAACCAAACCGTAAATCAGTTTCAGTTCGGTTTTGGTAGAACATTAGTCATGTTTATTTATTACTCGTTACTAGATCATATTTGAGAGTATATACTTACTTATTTTCCCCTGGCACCCCTACAATTTTCTTTAAACTCTTCAAGAACATTAATGATATTAACATATAAGAACGCGTCACTTGCAAGCATCCTACAATTTGTCTGATTTCACCCAAAGAAGATTCCAGAACTGCCATAGTGTTACCTGGAATTTATTAAAAGAAATGTTAAATACAATATTACGAAAGGAAAAGCGAGAATTTATATAGCGGCCAGCGCCAAGTTAGCTTGTTTTTCATATAAATTATATAAATAAAATTATGTAATAGGACATCTACAAAAAGTAATGTATGTCACCGTAATGAATTATATTTGTGTTATATTCTATTATAGAACTCACCACCGCTTGCACGCAGTGTTATCTCAAGTTTGCCATTGATGTGTGTGCAACCACGAAACCGTTCAGCAGCCGCTATGGAATCTATCTTAGCACCGCTGCATTCCCGGACACAGCCAGTTCTTGGACAGGGTATGCAAGTAGCGGTTTTTTCATCGCCGACCTGTATGTATTATAATTAGCAATCGTAATGTCACACAAATTTATAGCCCGCATAATTTCGAATCCTTAAATTATTTAATTTGAAACCTTTAGCCTAAGACCCTACAGTTTATGGTCCATCGAGCCGGATTAGTAGGAATATACTACAAACACATTGTATTTTAATTAATATTACCAGAATAGTCGTTCTGTTATATAATGCAATTTACTAGAGTCACGGAATTACGGAGGCATGACACCTTAGTCCTCTGGAATGATAATGCACTTGGGGTACTACACTTTCCCCTTTTAATTTGGACGGGTTCATCATATCATCATGCACAAAAAATATTACTATAATTCTTAATAATAAAGATCCATATTTTATTTTCTTTTTCTTTTGCTCTGTCTCTCTCGTAAAGTCTCTGAAAACCTGTTATTAGCTTTCTCCAGAAATTTAAGTTGACTTAATGTATTAGATTGTAAGCTGTAGGTTTTTTAATAAATAAATATAATTTATGACGTACCTCCATATAACCACTTGGACAGATGTACACGCAGGAGTCGTTGAATACTTTGTAGGCTTTAATGCTGGAGTCTGGGCGCTGTTGGTTGGTGTCGCTTGCACCTAGCAGCGGCGGCGGCGGAGGCATGTTCCGACATTCCTCCTGAGCCACGCACCGCGCAAACAACTGCACAAAACAACAAAAACTATTTCAGTAAAAACAAAACACGCAATCATAAAATTAGATTAAAAAATAACAGTAAATATATGTATTTGTATGCCTACAAGGTGGTACTAATTTGTACCCATGTTTTTGCAAATAAAGTATTGAATTGAATTATGTTACTACGATAAAGCGCCTACCATTTACATTATTCCTCACTAGCTGTGCCCGCAGTATCACCCGCGTTTGACTTCAATATAAAATTTAGCCTATGTGTTATTCTGATGCATAAGCTATATTACTGTAAAGTATCAGCAAAATCCATTCAGTAGTTTTTGCGTGAAAGAGTGACAAACATCCATACTCACAAACTTTCGTGTTTATAATATTATTAAAATTACGATACGGATTGTGTCATTAGCAGCAGAATATAAGAAGTCAAATTTATAGCTATAGTTATGTTATTTCACAGGGTGGGTTGTCTGATTACTTTTTAAATTAATAAAATGTAAACAACAGTATAATTTAGTAAAAATGTTACTATAAAAAAAACTTAATACAAACAAATATAGAGAGTAAATATGTTGATTAAAACACCATACAGTAAGATAACAAGAAAATATATACCTATACACAATAAAACAGATTGTAAACCTCAGCTTTTATGAACTCATCCGAAAAAAAATAAGCATTTCGCGGCATAGTGCTCACAACCATATTGCGTCATAATATTGTGAGTTCGAATATGACGGATACACTATGATACGATCAAAAAATGAATTTGAAAGAATGAGTGATCGCAAAAATGCAATACAATCCCTCACGATTGAGCGCGTTGGCTATCACGCTCAAAATCAAGCGCGCTCCAGTTAGCGCGTGAAAGAATGTGTCGTGTAAAGGTAGCTATTGATATTATAATACGCGTCTAGTAGGAATCACAAAGAGCATGTATATGCCATTGATTACCTTGTAGGTGTCGCGGGGACAGTTTTCAACGCATGTTCGCTCGCTGCCATACTTGAAGGAGTAATGTTTACAAGCGTAGCAGTCCCTCGAGGTGGGGCCGTTGCAGCCGCCCAGGCAGCTCCGATGACAACAAGTCCTGTTGTTCATGCAGCCGCTCTCGCCGCATGCAATCGGGCATACTGTACAAATTGAATAATACGTTTTTAATTTATTTGTAAACTTAGATCACTAAACAAAAAAATATGTAGGTACTCATATTTGAAAATGTCGTAACATAATACTATTTATATATTTACTATTCCCGATTAGGACCTCACAGGTCGTGACTTAAAATCTAATGGACACATAAAAACATTGTGTTAATCTATACTTCTGACTGACACTATAATCATCGAAATACAGAAAACTAATAAGAAAATTATCCCAGACGCGGTTGTAGCCTCGCCTCATGCGGCGTTAGATTCAAAAATACCCAGCGAAATGTTTTAGCTATCAATATCTATACTACCTCATATTGGATAACAGTCATGATGGTGTATTACAATAATAATTAATAAATTTTTATTAATAAGTTAACGGATTACTAATGTCTAGTCAGTCCTAAATTCATTAGGCTTATATATAATAGACTTGACCAACGCACGTATTGTATCAAAATTATATTGTACTACATTTGCTATTATTTAAATATGAATTTCATGCAATGTATAACCACTGACTGATTCGAGATTTTGCCTTGTGAATTCGATAAAAAAGTTCTTTAATCACATATATTTTTAGAGAAGGTTGCACTCACTTTTTTGACAATGTTTGTCATCCCAGCAGAGCAGAGTACCCGAAGAGTCGGTAGGGCACATCGAAGACGTTTGCGGAAGGTCTACCGTTCGACTCTGCGCTTCAGGACATAGACCGCATAGCCGAGGATCGTAGTTTGACTGCAAATAAAATAGTAATATTAATATCGTCTAATTTACCTAATGTACGAGTGCAGGAGAAGATGCTGTAACGAATGATCCACATTCACCCTGAAGAAGACTTCCGGATGAAGTCCAGACAATTGTCGCGAAAGACACAAACATATCAAGTTTACTATTTCGCGTACATAGCTATATAAAATATAAATATTAGTGCCAAGACGAACATAAGCTTTAAATATAATTTACATTGCTAGTACAACGCTACTACAAATCCACCCCTCTACATATGTATATTACGTGCGCGCAGTATAATATTTATATGATATGTCAATTTACGCAGCTGACCATACGCAATGGCATAGACAACATTGTGCAAAACTAATAACAAACAACTTCCACGGTTCGCGCAATATGCTGCACATTATATTGGCCCAGAATTGTAATATCTACTGACCACATGCCCGTTCACATGTCCCTTAAACATATTACGAAAAAGTCGACAGATAAAATATATTTTCTTACTTGTATTATACAAAAATACTCATTATATTTATTGCTATGAATGAGTTTCGTTTGTGAGAAGAAAATCGGAGAAATAAATAAATAATTATTGTATAAGGGACTGTCAATAAATTACATCATCATCATAGTTAAGAGGGGATGGAGTATTGAAAAACTGTGACAAAATTAAAAAATAGTTCAAATTTCAAAATATTATACGTAGCAGAGGGAAGTCTGACAATTAAAATACGAGTAAAAAGGTGGTAGGGGTGGAGGTAGGAGGGGTAATAAAATACGAAATTTGTGTTACGTTATTTATATACGGCCCTTTATTTACGTATAGTAAGTACCGTACATAGTCTTGTGACTCGCATGAGTAGATACCACGTGTTATCTACTTCTATTATATATATATCCTAACTTTAATAAACTGCATTAAAAATAAAATAATATTTTTTGGGAAATCGACTTTAAAGCTTTAAACTTAAAGTCGTAATTAGCGTGCGTGATATCCGTTGATGTAGGTAGGATCTGAATAATAAAACAACTAATGCACGAAATATGCGACTCCAAATCTCAACATAATTAGTATGAGACCAACAACACGGGAAAAAACACTTTCCATTACGAAAGTCGCGTCATCTTTTCCGATGTGAATTGACCGGAAGTGCGAAATACAGAAATGTTACTAAATTTAGAATCGAACAATGATATTGCTGCTATCATGGAATATTAAGAATGGAATAATCAATCATTTTTATGGCTGCGGTCACTACACAGTAATAAAATGCCAATGCATGAATGAAGGAGTACCTACATTTATTCGTCATACATTATAATATAATAAAATCGTAAGCGTGCCGTGTCTGTTATAAAATATATTCAATTTGAACACGTTGTATTTGTATTATTGAGGTCAAGAAATATTTTTTTTAATTATTGTCTTCCCGTGCGTTTGTGTAGTTTAATCTCAGAAACGGCAGATTGACATACGTTATGTATTATAATAGTAAGCGTTCTCTAAATTTTGTAGTTCTTTCATTCGAATCGGATAATACAAACAAAAATTAAATAACCAATTGTTACTCTAAATATCAACTTACGAATTTTTTACAATATTTTTATTTACAACCTTTTTCGTATTAGGAACCATGCAGAAATGACGTCGCACCAATTTCAATACTGTGAAAACCTCCAATCCCCGTTACAGCTGTTCACAATTTGAATGTGACGTCACAAATTAGAAGATCCCTCCTAAGAGGACGCTAAGAGTCCTAAATTTCATGTTCTTATATGAATTATGGGGCCTCCTCAAACCCCTTCTCAACCACTTTGTCAACCTCCACCCCACTTTTAAAGTGAGACGCAATTTAATGTATGACCCCTTGACAGTGATCGTAAGAGCTTTATGTGATCATAGTACATGTAATATGTTTCATACTCACCCTAATGAACACGTTGTCCAAGTCTTTCGCGATGATCTGACTCCAGTCCACGGTGTCCGTATAACATAGCTGGTCGTTGTGTTGGATCCTGACGGCTCCCCGTTCGATTCTAGACAGCGATCTGAGGCCCAGCGACTGCATGTACATAATCATTCCACACAAAGTTAAATAAAAGACAAAAAATAGTCTGCCATTAGTGGAAATAAATCTAGCGCAGTATATAAGGAAAAAGAAATACCTTGGACCATTAACAAAGCGCCATCTAGTCCTAATCTAAGCAGAGCTTGTTATGTAGTAGGTACTTTTTTTATTTAAAAATATATAGTAGGTACTAGTACCTAATTGTCACAATCATAATAGATACCTTTAATACAATTTTTAGGTACATACAGAATAAACATAAGTAGCGGCTAGAGCAATCGGCTCATGCATACAAATGTTTCGTGAGGAATAGAACCCGCGACCATTGGAAGAAAGGTCGTATGTTAACCACTACACCACTTAAGTGTCATATCCGTCACGTAAAAATTGGCCTTCAGCCGCTCTATAAGTCCTTTCGCGAGTTTAGAGTGGCCCATGCACTCGTCAGTATTTTTGTCCGGTGAAGCTGTAAAGGCTCGGTCCAGTCAGTATTAGGTTAGTTTATTAGTATTAAGAGGCATTTTGCTAACAATAAAGGTATGTGTGATAGTGTATTTATCAATAATAACATTACAATACAATTTCAATAATAACTACGTATAACAAACAATTGAAATTCCATCTCGTGGTTTCCTCTGTATATGGAGTGCACACATAATCAAAATTATTTTAATGTTATATATGTAAACTTAATTATCAACTGCTCAAATAACAACAAGGACTAACGCAGTACAGTTTATTTCGTTTTTAGGGTTCCGTACCAAAGACGTAAAAAGAGATCCTTATGGAGCAAGCGACTTGGCCTTACGTCCTTCACAGCATTAAAGGTATTCCAGAAATTACTAACGTTATCGATTCGATAATTCATTTAGCTTTAACCACAACTAATTGATCACATATTTTTGGAAATAAAATAAAAAAATAAATCTACTTTTTTCGCAAGGGGATTCAAAATTCAAGTAGATCTTAAATTTATAATTATATGACCGAGTGTTCGTATTTATAAAATTTTTGTTTTACAAAAATAATTATGCGATCCGCATTTATAATTCATACGTGTTTATACCTTTAAGAAATATATGTTACATAAATGCATTTATTTCCTGCAAGAAAATAAATGAATCATAAGAAACTATAATAATTAAAAATATTTGTCCGGGACCCTTTCTACTTTTTACGCACATTATCGGGTTCATATTATTAATAGCTCAAGCGGTGTTTATCTTTAAAAGACTGTTACATTAAGCTAAATATTGTGTATTTATATAGTATTTTACGTATTAATCACCACGAAAAATATAAACAGTTGTACGTGAACCTTAAATAAACATAAGTAATACGGAATAAATTTCACAACGCAGTTATTTACTGCGTAATTAAAATTAGGATATGTACTCGCAAGTTCCAACGATGCGATAGAACTTCAGAGGCCCGAATGTATTTTAATTTACGGATTATGATGGAATTGTGAATCATGCCTATAGACTACTGTAACCGTTATCATCAGATGGGCCATATGCTTAATTGTCTCGCCATAGCGATATAAAAAAAGTGTCAGTAACGATATACGCTTGGGGGCACCAGTGGAGGATGATAGTGATAGGATGTACACAAAGTGGCAGATAGTCCACGTGTCGACTTCAGCAGTAATAAACCACGATTTTTCCAGGGGGGACGTATATGTTCTTATTCTTATAATATTAAATATTTCTCTATAATGGACATCAGAGTTCTTTAGAGTCCTATAGATCACAGTTCTTTTTGAGTTATTATTAGTGTGATAACGGATTAAAATAGCTATTACATTACATAATTCCGATAGAGACTACTATAATAACAATAGGTTGACTATAAAAAGTACTACAGAGTTTATTGAAGTTTCTTCTGTATGTAAATCAGATCTATTTTCACATGGAACATGTAGTCTTTTTTCGTTATAGATAGAGTTTATCACATTTCTGTTACAAATTAATAAAATTTTTCGGTCTGATATTGATATTAATTTAATACCTCAAGATGTTCATTGTCGTATATGACAATGGCGTAATCCTTGTAGAGGCGCATACCCCGCACCACCGTGAGGTTTGGAAACAAATCGCCCAAATTCCGTACACCTTTCGCTCTGGAAAAGGAAAACAAAAGCATGTAAGGCAAGTTACACAAATAAAAAAAGTTAAATATACTAAAAGAAATTCAATAAATAACATCTGATTGTTAAATTAAGCTACTATACTTTAAAAACTGAGTACGTGCTGTAAATATGCATGACTAAATCATATTTTACCCTTTTATACATATCTTTAAGACATTTTCTATATATAAATGCATGCTAATATAATAATTTTAATAGAGCCTAAAATTAATTTATATTTATGTAATAACAACCAGCTGAAAAATATCTTTAAACCACATCCCCTAACAATAGATAAGTATAAGTAGTTCCTTTTTGTTCAGTTTACTGTTATGTTAGCGCGTGGGCGCCCTTACATAAACTAAATCTTTTGTTACCTTAACAAGTTTTTTGATTAAATCAATTTTCGCAAATTACTACATAACTAATACGCCAAATCTTATAAAGAAGTCGTTGACAAAAAAATCTGTTATCTGTTTTCAAAACGGAATTAGTATTTTTAATAAACAATTATTTTTCTGTTCAGTGTAATAATGTCTCCTAATATATTAATTTTATACCACATAGTATGTATGCCACATGAGTTGCGTTCACCACATTATCGGCATTTGACTCTACTTCTCACTACCTTGTCTGGGATTACATAATGAGGATATAGTGACCATTTTATATGGTATCATCAAAAATCTAGATTGTAACCGAGATACAATACCCGACAACAACAATTATTTATTTCGTACTGAATATACATTATGCCGTTAATAATTTTATATATGTTAATAAAATGGTAAACGGTAACCGCCGCCTTTATACATTAAAAGCAGTACGGACATCACGTTATCATGTGACAACAGCGATATTACTGATGTATCGCCGTTCCAGAGGAATAAGATATCATGCCTATAACCGAATAACAATTTGTAAAGGACGCTGCATGGTGGCTGAAATAGATGAGAGTGAGTTACTCAAGCTGACTACATTTTGCAGAGTCTACTCTGGTGATGTTCATTATTATTTTTCACTTAAGCATTTAAGACTATAACGTACCTGTAAATCTTGATATATTCCGTAACTTCCCGGAGTTCAGGGAAGCTCACGTTCTCAAACGTCCGAGGGTTGGCGCGTTCCATTAGGACAATGCTGAGCTGCCCTTCGATCACACGACACCCTCGGAGCTTTTCCATACTCTCTGGATACGTTCTGATGTCCATTGATGGACACACTGCAACAATAAAAATAAATATGTGACCTCATGTGACAATCTAACCAAACAACCAAACAATGAATAAAATTTATATTTCGAATGTGACTGTCATATCTATTCTTATCTATTATAGTTTATTATTGTTTAAACTAATATTAGTTTTTCATAAAACTATTATTTAATAGCATTTCAAATATCTAATTTAAATTTTGTGTAAAATCGTAAACAGGTGTATTAGCGTCAGATTTGAACGTCACTCGTATCGCCTACGTGCATTGCATCTACAACAGGATTGAATAATGTGTTCTCTCATAATAATAAATCCTGCACGTTAATGGAGTTTTTTTAATGTAACTGGTAACCACTATATACATCAACAATACTAGGGACATCACATTATCATGTGACGCTATACACCAACTCATGCGCTGCCATTCCGGACTAACTAACATCAACGATATGGATTTTATACTGGAATTACATTGCTGCAGCTTATAGTCGAAACACAGCTAACAAAGCAAGCTGCTATGGCCGAAATAAGTGAGACTTAGGTATTAAAGCAGACGATTTTACAGTCTGCCTTCAAACTCAACACTCTATCTGATTGATCGAGCTTCGAACTGTTCAGGGTGCATAAGAAGTAAGGGCACAAGGTAAAGTAAAAAGTAAAAAAAATATTATATTACTTAGCAATTAATAAATTGATGGCGCAAGACCATACTCTATAGTATGATGTGGGGGATCTAATTACAGCAGTCTACAGTAGATGGGTTGTAAAGACGATGTACAGACGCACTTAAACGATTAAGGACATTAAAATGTTAGAAATTTAATACATTAAACGTGTCACAGTGACTGTTATCGAACTCCTTCGAAAAGATTTGAACCCATTATTATAAATTTTTTGGAGTATATTTATTTAGGTCTTAGAAAAGATTGTAGGCTAATTTTTGTACCCATAAGTGGCCATATGCAGAGATTTTCTTTACTATAAATAGTTTATATGGCAAAACAACGTTGCCGGGTGAGCTAGTAGATATATATAATCAAGCCACTTACAACAAAACAACACAATATCCCGAACACGTGTACAGTTTATGAAATTAATTAGTTTGTTGTTGTTTTCGCGAACAAGTTGATTATTGGCCGTTAATGAACTCCCACAGAGCAATTCCGTGACAGACCACATGGGAAGATATTTGTTCTTTATTACATTCCGCCTTGACTGACATTTATATGTCTAGCGGCTCGTCCCGAGTTCAGCCGGATTTAACAATATATTAATGTGCCTAACAACTAGTGAAATATTTTTCAAATTAGTTTCATAGACTCCTCCGCATAAACAACTGTCAAAATTCGCGCTCTTTATTTATGATATCATACGTGTAGTATATACTAATACGTGTAGCAAAAACGCAACTAATATGAATAAGGGATGGATGAGTATATTGGTATATTTTTTTTACAATTAACTTATTTTATTATATATAATGGTAAAAAAAATATATATTATTCAATACTATGTGATTGATACACATACATATACATTTAGTTTTTGACAATAGAGCCTTGGAAATGGTCAAACCAATATTAGTTATGGTTGAATTTAGTCATCTGGGTGACCAGATCACTAATAAGTGTAAATAGCAATGAAGATATATATCTAATTAAATTACCTTACAAACCCCTAGTCTGTTCCAATACTATACATGCAAAACTAAAACTGTCTGTCTATGTATTCGATAGATATTTTTTTCATTTATTCATAAAAAATATACCTAATATTTTTGATGAATTTCGGTTTATTTAACTTATTATGACATTAGTCACTATCAAATTCAATTTCTTCATTAAGGCTAACTTTAAGTAACATAAACCAAAAATTTTACAGTAAAATTTATATAATAATTTCATACTTCCTAAAATTATTATATACATTTTATCGCCACGAAAATACGTCAAAACCATAACCATTTACGTCATTGGGTAATAAAACTTACCTTTAATGACTGTTTTTGTTTTAAAAAGATTACAATATATATGCTTACCGCGTTCCAATTTCTACTACTGTACAGGTAGAGTCCGCTATGTTCGCGATACCTGCCTATAGCTCTGCTTCTCCGAACTCAAGTCAGAATAAAAAAATACTGCGTAAACCTCATGTCGTACGTGAGGTCGAAGAAAGGAATTCCAGTCCATTTTTGTACTCTAGGTGTTAAGTGAACGGTTTGTTTGTGTATGAATCGTAAGGGACTAATTATGTTTATGGTAATTATATATACGATGTTTACTTTATTTATAAATACCCGTCGTATAGGAGGTGTAGGAAATGAAATGCAAGGTCATTCTATTGCGTCGTCGAAATTTTTCGGTCTCGCACGCACTTTTGGATGAGGGAGCGAGAGGTGGCACTCAGAGAGCGCATGCACGCCAAAAGCGCGGGAGGGATAATTGTCAAGATGGCGCCGCTTGTAGCGTAAACAATGCGGCATGGCATGAGCATTATTGGACTTGGGACCCCGGAACGTTACCTAACGCTATACCCAAGCATGCTACGGACAGCCTTCGGGAACGCGGTCTCAGTATAAAATACTGTACTGCACAATAGCAGCTATCTTAAATAATTTAACTAGTGATTTATTGCAACCTCACAGAGAAATATCTATACTTAGCAATTATTATAGCAGAACCTACAAAATCATTTGATTGATTAGTTAGGACGTTGTATGATAAGATATATATTTACTTTTTAAACATTAGTAAGTAATAGTGACTATGTTGTAAATACTGTAATTACTGAACATCTTAAGAAATACTAGAACAATAATTTAGTACCATTTTTTTTTATATTTACATATTTATTTTAAAAAGACGATATATATAGGCGTAATAGATAACCTGTACACACCATACAGTATGGTAAAATAGCGTAACAGGTATGGTGTGCTGAGAATCATTCAGAAAAGACAATGCATCGCAATGCACTCGCCTTGTCAAGTGGGATGCAAATGAACTCGTCGCATACCTCTCCCCGCGCACCGTCCCAGCAGCTTCTGCCACTCAGCCCAGCTGATATTAATAGAATAGGTAGGTAAGGAATGTTATTGTGCTTATACGAAGTAGAGATGTTATTACAAGTTGTCGATAATAAATCACATTGAAAAATGTACTCAAATGTTTTCGAGATTTATTTTGTAAGTACCATTCTATAACGATGTTGGAATGTAATCGTTTTAATTATATAAAATAATTATGTATACAAAATATATATATATATATATATTTATATTTATATAAATAGAATAGTATATAAATAGGAGCAGTCAGTGATAATGTCCCATCTAAAGTGGCCAACATATATGAGAATTGTCATCACAGCTTTCATTGTATAGAGAGAGAGAGAGAGAGAGAGAGAGAAAGGATTAAGATTAAAAAGCTTTTTATCAATACTTTACTTATCAACAACATTTTAGCACAACTGATTTAGTTTCTTAAATACGCTTTCATGATGTTTCTCCTAAAAAAAACATTATTTGAACAAAAGCACGTTTTGTACACGTTTTTATACAGAAAAACAATGCCACGATCCTCTTTAGTTTAATTTCCGACTGGTGTGAAACGTATAAAGTGTGTGTACTGTGTACGGTTGTTTGGTTACCCTAAGTGTATTTTTATCGATAACGACATTTTTGTCACCAACATATTTGTTTTGTACTCAACTAACGAAATATTGAACGCGGCAAGCTCCACGTCCACGACCCTCTGCTACCCGCACCGCGCTTACTACGCCGTTACTACAGCCTCCGCCCCCTTGCCCCCACCCGCGCCAATACACCCCGTACCATGACATCGTTATACTACTCTGTTCGACGGCATCAATTTAAAGCAAAACTCACAGGCCCCTGCTACAAGAAATATTCAAACGAACTTCAAATAAACAAAAGTTTCATGATACGGAAAGCGGTTTGGTTCGGTTGTTAATGGTGGATTCCGCGTCACTTTTACGTTTTACGATAAGTAATTTTATAAAATTACAGTCATTCAGCTCGGTAGCCGAGGATCGGATAAACACGGTGAGTAATATGTACGCGTAACTCACGTGTAGTGTGCATTTTATTACGCTCATCGGATCATCATATCATTATGATGCACGTGATGCGCCAGACAGTGATTACAGGTTGATAATGCGTTTGCTATTTCACAGATGACTGTAAGATAGTCATAATGATATCATGTAATAAGGGAATTATAATTATGTATATATAGGTATTATTTTTATTTCGTAATACATATATTATGTAGTATATTTACTACATAATGTAAAAATAATTAATTAAAATTAATTGCTTTGCGGTTAATTGTTGTGGTAAACCGAGATTTACCTTTAGTGCCTAACTTACGGTTTAATATTGTAGAATAAGTATCACAAAATACTTATTAGTATTGAAGAGTATAATTATATTAAATTGATGCCTTTTTGATTGCTATGTTTGAAATTAATAATTTTGTGTGTGGTGTCATTAAACCAACATTGGTAACATGTAACTATGAAAACATAGTAAGTCCTTTTCCATATATCCTTTAAATGAGAATTTATCTAGCATGAGTCCTCAAGAAAACAGTTTCATAGAATTTTCTATTGACGTCATATTTTCTAGTGCTGACGTTTGAACACACGTCTGACGCGACCTTCCTGAATCGTAATTGTATGTAATTCTCCCCTGGAATTTACGAGAACAATTTATGAATACAAATTGTAATTAAGCGACTTTGAATGAGAAAATAAGGCGGATTGAGCTTCTTCAACGCAATTGTTTGCATTGTGTGCCGCAAATTAATTTATATTACCTACAATATTTTAGCACGTCAGCGGTGAGAAAACATTTTCGGCACAAGTTTGATGTCGCAAATGGATTCGATGTTTTTAAGCTGTTGAACTTCCACATTAACGCCGCTCTGAAAGAGGAAACTTGTAAAAGTCTTGATTGATGCATGTGTTACGTGGTTGTGTCTAAGTA